GGTGAAGAATTTCATGATTTAATAATGTCGCAATTATATATATTAAAATATTTTCTTAAAATATTTTAATAATAATTTTAAAAATCAAAGAAACATTACTTCTCTCATAGAAGAATCTTAAAATGAAATAAAGCTGCGAGGAATCAAGACGCGAATCATAATTAATCCTCAAATATTGAGATTGGTCCATGGGATCACATGAAAAAAATAATAAAACGCCATATCTGTCTCATTTTCAGTACTTTCATAAAGACTGATTTATAATATAATGATTAATTGATTAAGAGAGTAGGCGCGTCTTGGTCATTTTGACTAAAATATATTTCCGCATATATGTGTTATAACTAGAATACATATATGATTATTATATAATTAGTAAGAAAAATGAGAGACAAACACTAATTACATTAACGTGAGTTTACGTACTATTATGTACCGGGACATATTCCATTTCGACTTGGGTGTTGCATCATCCCTAATTTTTGCAAGCTTTTTCGTGATTGTTTTCTTTTTTGAATTTGTTATCTGCATTTTTGAGATAGTTTATAGCCAGATCGCGGTCGGACTGACTAATAAAAGAAAAAAAAGACTAATGTAAATGCGCGCGCTATGGTCTTTTAGACCGATCGTTAACATATCAAATTTTATATAGATATAAGCGTGTTTACGTCATCTATTTTCGCATACTATATGAAAAAAATATTAACAAATATTTACGTAAAGGTAAAAATGTAATAGTGCCAATAAATTGAAAGATATAAATAGAAAACGGAAGAAAACGGAAGAAAACGGCAAAATGACCATAGCGCTACCACTCCCGGGTTAATAACACATAAATTTATAGAACATAGATTTATAAAATCTTCTGTGTTTTTATTTCAGTTTTTTTTTTAATCGATATCTCAGGGACCAACCTCGGTAAGTGTCACTATTTTTTACCTCAATACTTAAGAATTAATAGTTTTCCACTGGAAGAGCAGCACTGATACATTGAGTGCAATTGAAATCAATTCATATATTTTCAGCGTTAATAAATAATTTAATCCTTTTAATTACATATTGTCACGAAAACTTCATAACCTTAAAAGGACTAAATTATTTATTAACACTGAAAATATAAAAACTGATCTCAATTGCATTCAATTGCAACTGGTAAAACTAGTATTGCACTAGTTTTACCAGTGAAAAATGCTATAAATTGATTGATGACCTTCTGTCTCCTGCAAAAAATTGGCATTATTGATAGCGCACATATTGAAACTTGACTAGAACTAACAAACTTGTGGAGAAATAAATGTATATAATTCTTCCCCCCCCCCCCTCTCGCTCTTTCTCTCATTTTTTCATTCTTCCTTTTTATTAATCTCATCAATTTTTCTGTCATCTTTCTCGCAAGGTTGAGCAGTATTTCGAATGCTAATTAGCGACTGCACATGGAAAATCACGCTCTGTATTTTGTATTCTTAATCATATTCTACTGTTAAATCACATCTGTATATCTTATTTTCGAAATATATCTTTCAAATGTTTTTTCATAGTGAGTTTAGAATACGATATTTATCGCATTTGTATTTGATATATGATGTCGCTCGCTTGTCTTAGAACCGACGCCTGTCTTAGAACACTATCGATTACGATCTCTAAGTCGTAATCGAATATTTTGCCCAACCCATTCAATTTAAATCATGAACATAATTTTCGTATCATCGCGCGTGGAAAAAACACATCACATATATCGCATATGTATTACAAACTTTCTCCCAAATATGAAAAATAAAAATGGAAAAGAGAAGGATCATCTCTCTATAGCCGCAATATTACAATTCACAGCGAAATCTAAATATTGTGTAAACGAAATGCTCGCATGTATTTCGAATTGAATAAGACTATCAGTCAGACTTTTTTCTTTTAAAAGAGGAATCAGTGCACGCGTGATATGCGTAATAAATCGTAATAATTTAACTCTACATTGTGTGCTGAAGAACATATAGACGCAACACGCACACAATAGTCAGTATTATTATTGTGATAGATCGTAAAATAGCAACGTCGCGCATTGTTACAGAAGTCGCTTCCTTTCGAAGGGCTTCCCACAAACGAAGCTGATCGAATTTTATTTCATTATTTTATCTCTTTATTTTAGTCAAAACAGAACATCCTGTAGCAAATGCCAGGATAATACGCATTAACGGAAAGTTTTCGGGATCGGTCACGAATGCGAATAATCATGATTATTCATCATGATGTCTCCTTCCATTACTTAGCTTCAATTGCGATTCGCAAGAGCGAAATGATTCAAAGTTACAGACCATATCTCATATACTTGGCAGAAGAATGAATTATCATACCTATACAAGTATATCCATTTCTTCCTGTGTCTCAGCTTCGCTGTACAGCCGTATGCAGGATATTGACAAGAACATTCGTGTCTATGTTAAATTTCGATATTAAAACTTTGTCACACTATGGCTACAATATGCTCTGGCTAAATCGTTAGGTTATCAATAAAAATAAAATAAAGCTTCATAACGGTGTTTCGTGATAATATCACGCACTGCACTTTAAGATTTTCACCAACGATGTCGGAAATTCACGTAGTAATACCACGATGATTTTTAGTTAATCTCAAATCAATGCTCTTCTTTCACACTTAACTTATAGTCAGCACATGTAAAATTTGCGAACATATTATGTACAAGTCTTTAGATCCGCTTTGTGCATCGCGATCCACTTTCCGTTTATATGACGATGATAATAATGATGATGACGATGACATTAATGATCTTTATCGACGTTTATTCATCTTTGGTTGAGGCAATGTACGCTTATTTGAACGTTCGTGGATCGTCGGACACTTGTCACGGAACTTTTTCGCGCACATGTCCGCCCAAACAATTTAGAACAATTTAGTCTCGCTCTTGCTGCTAATTTTCAAACATTATGCTGTCGTTTCATCATCGACTAAATTGTGAAGATCCGAGTAATTTACGATGGCACGATGAAGAAACTCATATTGCGCCTAACAACACGTACAATGATAAATATTATACACAAAATACAATTACAATATATAATACAATATATAATATAATATAATAAATATGATAAATAATATTTAATTGTAATCCTCAAAGTTGTAATTTATTTTCATCATAAATAATTGAAAAAAAATTGGATGACAGAAAATGGAAAAAATATAGATATCTAGTACATATTTCATCTTTACATATTTCAATGTTGTAATACAATATTAACTGTTATTGTCTACTTTTTAAATAGACTAGCCAACTTTTTATGTCAAACTTCATAGATAATATTAAATTCTTTAACACGGTATGGAAAATATAGAGATGAATATTATATAGGAGAAAATTATGAAAATTATGACACTTACGAAGGTGCTGATCATGCCATGTCGCTGAGAACGCAATTTCTTCGTCGTTGTGAAAATATCTACGCGCTTCTCAGTGCGCAATTGCTGAACCAGTATGCTAAGAGCCACGAACATTGAACTCCGATCTGATCCGTAACTGCAGTGCACGACCAACGAGCCGCTCGTCTCGGTGTCGTTCGCCAATGTCTGATCTACCAACTCAATAAGACCGCGCGTCACCTCAGGTACTTCACCCTCCACCGTTGGCCAGCCATGATATTGATACTGCTTTACGACTCCACTTTCGTCAGTCTTTGTGTTCAAAATGCAAAATTCGCGACGCGTGTAATATGGACAACTCTCACTACGGATGTAACGGACCCTTATGTGATCATAATCGGTTTCATCATCAGGCCAATAGCGTGGGCATTTCCGTGGGCCTTCATTCAACTGGAAACGATGTTACTTATTTATTTTATATTCAATTATATTCATTCTGGTACGTCTAATCCATTTTTCTTTCAAAAATACCCATGCTTATTTCTTATTATTAACAATTATGATTTTCGGGGACTCTGACACTTCTTTCACCCGATTATAAAGAATTATATGTATTTTCTTTCGTTACAGACTCAAGAAAATATTGGCATATGTATTAGAAAATTGACATTGATTATTCAGATTATTTAAGATATTGATTAAATTATGTAAGAATATACTGTTCATATGTACAAAGCGATGTCCATAAAAAAGTTTTCAATAAAAAAAATATCACCAACTAATTCCTCAAAAATTTGTTGTATGAAATTGCATACCATGTATATCATATTAACGCAATATTCATATAATTTCATTTTATCCACAAATTGAACAAAAATCAGTATCTTCATTAAAAGCAACAAAGGATGAAGGAAAAAAATGAGTGCTTTCCAATTGCTTAACACATCTTAACACAAACGTATATAAGAATGCACAAAGCATAACATTGTGCAAGCTTTGATTGGAACAGAATGTGTACGCTGTGCACGATTGAGATGAGTTCAGATAGAGTTAGATTAAATGTAGCTTTTTCTGCCTGTATTAAACAAAAAAAAGTAAAAGTGCCGGCCATTCAACCTCATTACAGCCGCCGTAGTAACATGTAATTATTATTAGAAAACACAAGGTTACACAGTCCTCGACTGAGTACAGATGTGTAGTGTTGTAGTCGACGATAACGGACAATTGAAATGTAACTTGTGTCGTCATGTGCACGAAAGTGTCTAGGGATATTGCAATTGAAAAGCACCCTATATGTATATATATATACATATATACATATATATATACACATATATACATATACATGCACGCACGCACGCACGCACGCACGCACACACACACACACACACACACACACACACACACACACACACACACACACGCGCGCGTACACTTACATCAGATAACATAACTATCGTGGAGATGCATTGTTCCGAGATCATTCGCCAGAAATCCGTTATAGTAATTTCCAAGGGATCTTGCGTAATAACAAACGATTCAGAGTTATCGTAGCCTTCGATGAACGATGCATTTATGTATGTTGAATGTTCTTTTCCTGGAACTGGCGTGAGTATCACGCGATTTCTATCATATGGTATCACCAATTCACTTCTATTCTTTAATTTATTTTCGTCTCCGCCGCCGACAGAGAAGGATTTCCGATCTTCTAATATGGAACTAATTTTCTACAAACAAAAATATGATAGAAACTTTAGCCTCTCAACGAAATTTTTGGAGAAATTTAAAAATATCACGTTCACAGAATATCATGTACATTTCTAATATATTTTACTTACTTTATTGAATATTGATTGTTCAAAATATAACTTTTTCGCAAGTAATTTTTTCTCATCCATTACACAAATAGAACATGTCGATTGAAAAAAAAATTTGAAGGAGATTTAAAAAATAAAAACGAGACGAACTGGTGCAGCAAAGATATAATTTTGATATAAAGGATATTTATAAAATAATTTTGGCATGATATTTTAAATTGCAGATTTTAAATGAAGATAAAATTAAGTGACAAAAAAGTATTTGCATTCAATTCTGTAACTTACATCATATTCTTCCTCCATCCTACACTTCTCTTTTCCGTTGTCTCGCTGTCTTAGTTTGACGATTGTGGTTTTGAGTTGTGGTGCCGAAATTTCCGTGTCGCCGTACTGTGCCATCTCCATAAGCGCGCGATAGATGAAGATGTATTGCTTAAGCGATTGCACAAGAAAGTTGCGCTGATGCCGTAAGTCACACACAGTGTTGAAGATAGACACCTGGCCCTCCTCAGCCAACTGTTGCAGCAGAGAATCCAATGCCACGAGCGTGCCGGTGCGGCCCACACCAGCACTGCAGTGCACCAAGATTGGCCCCTTTTCGAGCGAATACGCTTCATTGACGCGCTTAATAAAGCGTAAAATCGCGTGTGGATGTTCGGGGGCGACGAAGTCTTTCCACACGAGGAAGTGATACTGCACGATCGCGCGGGCGTCGCGCTCGCCTAGTCGTGTCATCTTCAATTCGCGCACTACATAGTCCGAGTAGGCACGCTCTTTAACGTGTTCCACTGTGATGTCACCAAAGTTTTTGGTTTCGCGCTTGTCCGGCCAATATTTGGCGCACTTGGTCTTTGAATATTCTTCGAGATTTGTCAGCATAAGAATTAACTCGAGATGCTGCTCCCAGATCATGCGCCAGTAGTCGCACACAGTATTCTCCATCGGGCCCTGGGCGCAGATGAACTTCTTGCGTTCCTTATAGCCCAGCACAAAGTTGGCATTGATGTAATCAGAGCCGCAGATACCGTCCATCTGCGCCAAACGTATTCTCGTTTGATCATAACATTTGATGTCCGGATAACGATTCTTATACAGGTTTTCCTGTGCTTCGGATGCACGTGTCGTTCTATCCGTAAATCGATCAGGTAGCAGTTCAAATTCGTGCTGGAAACCATAATCCGAATCCCTATGGCGTTCCAAGTACGCTTGCAATAACTCGTTCTTAGATATGGGCGGCATATCTGGTGGACTCGCTGCCACGAGTTGATGCCTGCCTCTCAAACTTCTACAGAGATGTCTAAAAATCCATCCATTAAATACTTAAAGTACTTATCGCTTCTTCAAAAACTTCAAAATTAGACATTAATATTAATAATTAATATCAATAATAAGAATTATATAATATATATATTTAGTATAACAAAAGAAGGCTATGAGCCAAAAATTATATTATTTCATTAATAATTGTAACAAAAGATATATTGAACATATATTTGACAAATCATTCAACGTAAATAATAAACAAAAATATAAAAATATATATATAAATATATATATAAGATAACAAAATATACAGACGTTTCAACCTCGATTGGATCATTCTCAATGTTTCAATACATAAGTTCACTCGGTCTATAGAAATAAAATTATTCGGACATTATTTGTATACATTATGATCGCTTATTAAATTTAAAGTCTTACTGTAGTCGTCCACAGAATTGAAATCTTGTAAGAATTTTGATATCAAATGTTCTCATAGAAATAATGCATTATAGAATTAATGATAGTTTAATTGTATAACGATCACCTTTTCTTAACATTCTCATAATGTTTATACTTCTTTGAATGTCACAACGTCCTAAAGCACTAACGTGATAACAACAACTTTAACTCTGATCGTTATTGCTTATAATATAAATTGCAAAAAATTTGACTGCGGTTTCTGTATGAGACTTTCTTAATATGAAGGTAATTTATATAATTTAACTTTGATTAAATTAAAAATTTGAATATCTCAGTGATTGTTATACAATTAAACTGTCATTAATTCTATAATGCATTATCTTTATGAATTATTATATCTTGATAAAATTGCTTCATTATTTTAATAGTAACAATCCTTATCCATTTACAATACAATTGATATTCAAAATTCTTGCAAGATTTCTATGGATGACTACAATGAGACTTTAAATATATTTAATAAGCGATCATAATGTATACATGTCCGAATAATTTTATTTCTGTAGACCGAGCGAATCCTTATTTATTGAAACATTGACCCAATCGAGGTTGAAACGTCTGTATATTTTATATTATCTTATATATTTTTATATTTTTGTTTATTATTTACGTTGAATGATATATAAAATTTATATTCAATATATCTTTTGTTACAATTACTAATGAAATAATATAATTTTTGGCTCGTAGCCTTCTTTTATTATACTATTTATAATTTATTGAGCCATATTACGTTATGTAATATATAATAATAAAAAGATATTATGTACTTTATGTTTTATGTATATATTCTATTATGTTTCTGTATAACAGCTTTCTTTTATTTAACAAAAAAACAAATCTTTCAAAAATATGATTTTCAAAAATATGACTATTAAATAAAAAAAAGCGTTCATCATTTTAAAAAATTATAAGCATCTATTATTTTTAAAAATATAAAGTCTGTTACATTAATTATTAAAATATAATTTATTATTCATGTAATAAAATATTTATAAAATTTATGTATAAAAATCTTATATTATATTTAAGAGAGAATACCGTGTTCATCTTAAACTCACCTGAAACTATTGCGCAGCGTTATAACCTCTTCCCTCTCTTGCGCACGTTTCGTAAATCTATATAACACACAGAGTGCGATAAACAGAATTGTGAGAGTTAAAATTAGGGCGATGAAGAGCTGTAATATCATTTCTCTGACAGTAGTCGCTTCCGCAGCCGTTACACTGAGAGGATCCACTCCGCCGTAAAGAGGATTGAAATAACTACTGTAAGCCGGTAAAAACTGATCCTTTTCATTATCGAACACTGCAAACAATCAACCATCACAATGTGTTATCAAATTTGAATTTCATTCAAATTTGAATCTACCGATAATTGTACATACCAATAACTTCGATAAAACCAGTATAATTCGAAGTTTCATCAAGAAAACCATCGTAAGGTGATAAAACACTGAATTCTCCAGATTCGTCTATAGATGCCTTTTGCAGCGGCGCGTTTTCTCTCTTTCGTCTGTCCACTTTTTCCGTGGCATTCATAATCACAGGCACAGCCGTAGTTGTGTCAATTTTCGTACTAATAGTGGTCATCGATAATGTGGTAGATGGGTTGGTAGTTGTGCTGCTACCACTGCTACTTGCAGTTGTCGTCAGTATGGATGTAATTGCCGTCGTGCTAGTAATGATACTGCTCATATTACTTGAAGTTACAGTGGTAGTTGATGAGATTTCCGGAACAAAGTGTAATAACGGAGGTGCTGGTTTGGGTCGTAAACCAATGCACTTATCGCACATAACACCACCGTTAGACGACTCGCCGTCACCGAGAAAGATCTCTGTCAATAACTGATCGCTATCGAATATCTCAGCAATATACGCACCACCGGTAGGTGAATTATGCACATACTGATAAGAATATACCATGATCTCCTCAGGTGATGGTAAATCACCAACTGTTTTATGCGGCGGTAATTTCACTAGGTAGACGCGGTAGCAGCAGATTGGACCGTTCCGTTCCGAGATACGCGGTAGATAGAGTTTGAACAACTGCCTACCCTGGTTTTCAATCTTCCGCCAGCTGCGCATGTTCATATTATCGCGACCCGGAACTGTAACTGGCGTCGTACAGTTTCCTATAGCATCCTTGCCAGGAGTGCGAGACCTTGTTACTCCGTGCACCCGAACCTTCGAATTCAAATGTTCATTTTTAGTACGAAAATACATTTGATATTAATAGATTTGCATAATAATCTCAAGTTAGAATCAATCAATAATAGCACAATAACCCAAGTGTCGGTGTTTAAATTCTTTCTTTGAGAATTTAATAATAATATTTGAAAATTTTTTCCTGAATTATAATGAATAATGATGAAATATTATTGAATTTCTTGTTGAAATCAACATCATTTTTATTATTTCATTAAAATTTCATTAAGATTTCATTGCAGTTCATTATAATTTCATTACAATTCATTAATATTTTATAAATAATTTAATACAAAATGTTGTTATATATTTAACTTCGCATGTACAAAAATACAATGCATGTACTAGAATATATGCAAAAACCATATACAAATGCAAATTTAACACATCAGCTAATCTAAACTTATGTAGACCTGGTTATTAAAGAGCACGACTAAATTTTACGTGCGCGAACACATTATCTTGCAGCTGTCTTAGAAAGATTAATTCAAAGCTTTTCGTTACAGTGCTAACTGATTTCATTATTTTTCAGCAAATTTTATTACAATCGTTCAACTATTAATGCTCCTGAGTACTCAGCTAAAAACTCTGCGTTGAGACGGCGGCCTAGCGAAACCGATAGCCACACAAGCATGAGCCCATGTATATGCGATCTCAGCGCGTTTTCCTTATCCAGCGGAATATTATTCAAAAAATCAATGTTACAAATTCTTAATAATCATTTAATATATGTTAAGGATATAACTCCTTGTTCAGAAAATGCAATATAGTAAATAAAAAATTGTTAATTTAATCCTTCGGGGCTCAGACTAGAATCACAAAATAACGGTTAATTCATTTATTTAATTTTAAAGAAAAACGTTGCGCTTAAGTGTGCCATTAAAAGATTTTCGAAATAATTATTAACCCTACGGTATAAATTTTTCTATCAGCTCAATTTCAATGAAACTTGATATTCAAAGGATTTTTATAGTCGCTGAAGTTTTCTACATTATGAACATAATCAAAAGAGATATTGTAACGATGCTGTTCCTATTTTCATATTTATTTAAATTATTCATTCATTGTGTAGGCATATTTTCATTATTAGTATGTATATCAAGTATTGTTCTAAAAGGATGTTCGAAAAGTTGCGTGAGCCTGTCACAACAGGAAAATTTGATAGTAACTGATGACATGCAGATTCCCTTAGTCGCGAGAATTGGCTATCGGGAAATTGCATCGTACCTAATTGAGCAAACGGCATTCATTCCCCACGCGACCGCGCTAGTATCATACGATTCTCGCGGGTACCGCAATATCCGCTATCTTGATTAGATTCTATTCTCAGATAGTCCTTTTGATAAAACTTATTTTTATTGCATATATAAAAAAGCAAAAAAAAAAAGAGGGATGCAAATAAAAGGGTCTTCATTTGGCGCATTCTGGGTATATCTTTGGCTAGCGAACCATAATTTAATAAATTTTTTATTACAAGTTATTGTATTATATAGTTTCATTTCAATACATTTAAATTAGCATGACTTTGGAGATATTCAGATTCCCATTCAATAATATTCATTATCTTCAGTAATAAAAAAAATTAGCTTAATAGTTTCTTATTGACTGATAATTTAAAACAAAATATAATAATCAACTTCAACAAATTTAAAACAAAATAATCAACATCTTCACCTGTGTTATAAAAATTAAAAAATCGATTTTTTTATGAAAAAAGATGTTATTTCGTTTTTTATTCAATTACAGTATATTTAAAAAGTCTACAAAAAAGAGGGAATTTTTCAATTTTAACTTTTGGGCAAAAATAATTTTTACAAAAATAAAATTGTTAAATAAAAAAATTAATAGATCTATTTATTTAAAAACGAACTTATTAGCTTCAGATTCGCAATCAACAAAAATAATCCTAAAAAATAACAAGTAAATCCGCAAAAAATTCACTAAACTTTGGTTTTTAATGCGCCATATTAGATCTGCCATTTTGAAAATCAACATTTCGATTGCAGATTCATAATCAATGATTCAAAAATCTATACACATAGTTATACACATAGTTTCAAACAAATTGATTAGAACGTTTGATCATCAAGAATTAAATTCCCCTAGAATTGTAAAATCTTGGCGCGCCGAAAAGGCGAGCACATGTACATGAGCTCATGTTGTATGTGTATTATAATACCTCGCCATGATAAATGGCTGAACTTACAGACGTGAAAAAATCACGTTTTGATGACGAAATTTATATTGCATGCCATTTCGTTATTATTTGCTATTATGAAAATGTGACTCGTACTTACACAAGTCCTAAAAATGAACTACAGTTATCTTGGAATTTTATACATAAAAGTGTATATTTCACTCGTTTCAACAGCTGACCGTGTGTTTCCTATCCAAAAAGACTCACTTTACTTGGCCATTTACTCACATCAAGGGAGAAAAGGATAGTTTTCGTCAATTTTTACATATGTTTTAAAGCGCTCTCGTCATTTAGATTTATCTAAATTGTTTATTTATAAATGGCATGCAATATAAATTAACGTGTCATTCCTCGCTTCTGACGTCATGATTTCAACATGGCCGCGGCAACTATTCAGGGGAGCCTTAATTTCAACATTTTAATTATCCTGTTTCCATTTTCGGTAACTTTCATTAACAAATCTGTAAAAATATTATATATTTCGTTCCCATTTCATTACTTTTCAGATATTTTCATTAATTTTCCTCAGAATTCAGCATATTTCAGCATATTTCAGTGTACAATAAACTGTGAAAATGTGTGTCTATTTTTCATTCTTTTTTTCATGCATTTTCAATAAATATCTTTACAGTTCATGATAATTCAATATAATTTAGTGCTTAATTTCTTTGATATAAATTCTCTGTATAAATGTTCTTTACAATTCCTTTTAATTTAATGCTCTTTGTTACGATGTTAACTGATTTCATTATTTTTCAACAGATTCATTACATTCTTTCAATTATTTCCAACATTTTAATTATCTTATTTTCGATAACTTGTATTAATAAATTTGTAAAAAAAAGAATATTGTATTTCGTTCCTATTTCGCATTATACTTTTCAGATATTTTTATTAATTTTCCTTAGAATTTATAATATTTCAGCATATTTCAGTGTACGATAAACCATAAAAGTATTATATAATTTGCGTTACTTTTCTTTTTTTTCTCATACATTTCCAATAATTATCTTTAGGATACATAGTATTTCAGTTTAATTCAGTGTTCAATATCTCTGAAATCATATATAAATATCAAACATATTTGTGTATTAGTTTTCATTATTTTTCATTACTCTTCATAAATTTTCATTAATTATCATTAAAATTCATAAATTCTTTTAATATTAAAAATATTATTTATGCTGAAATATTTTCATGATTCTCTTTTCTCATTTTAACGATTTCATTTTAGCGACTTTTTTCCATCAGGGTAGGCTACTAGCTTACCGTTCAATCCTTCTGGAGAGTAATAAGTTGCATATCTATAGAATGCGATATTTTAGCAAATACGTATATGAGACTTACAGTTTAACGTTAGTTTCGAATAGTCTATTACGAGAGGTTCTCATAGCAAATATACTCTCGATTTGTAATTACTTTCCAAAAAAATAAAATATTTTTGACTAGATTTGAATATTTGACATAAAACTCTTTACGCCACGATCGCCATACCAAATTATAAATTATTCTAATTAAATGAGAAATAATTAAGAAAATATTTTAATAAAAATAATAGAAAGGTGATTTAAACTTGAATAAGTTATATACCGTATAATTTGTATTAGGAGGTATCTTATTGTAATGCGTGCTGTTCCTATTATAGACACTCCAGCTGGGTGGTTCGAAACTATGAATGTCCAAACGCCCCATTTCATTCTTGAATCTTGCTACGCCATTCAATTGTATATTATAGCGCTGTATAATACCATTTGGCTTCTCCGGGGGTTTCCAAGTAATGGACATAAAACTGAAACTGCTTATATTGTCATAGCGACAAATAACGATGAGATTCTTTGGAGGACTGGCCACTGAAAAAACAATGAAATACATTTAAATATTTACCAAAATGAATAAAATAGATATACATATTTTTCTTGGCGACATACCTCCATCCAAAGTGGTGCCGTTTACTTCAGCACTCCAATTACCGCATTGTTTCGTGTATTCGCTGCAAGCAGCTATTTTGAATTTGTATGTGGTCGCTGGATCGAGATCTACAAATGCATATACGATGAATGGCTGAGCGGGATACACTGCTTCTCTCTTCTGATCAGCGTGAGTGGCCATCAAATTATAATAGTGCACATGTTCCTTCAAATCCGGTGGTGGCACAGTCCAACCTATTGTGATTGAATTTTCTGTCACGCCATTCACGGACACTTTCGGCACAAACACTGGATCTGTAATATATTTTTGTCCTATATTAAATAAAATATCAAAAAGAAGTTTTAAGTGTATGCCGGTTATATATCAGAAATTGGTTTTACTGTGGAAATCAAACGCCGAATTATAAAGATAATTATTTAAAATGTCTACATCTATTAAATAATTTTACTAGTTATTCTATTAAGAATAAATTATTAGAATTTTTTTACATTGTTTTATATTTCTTCTTAAGAATTTATAATTCTTTTTAGCTCTCAAGTAAAATCATTTTTAATTTGAATTAAACTTTAGAAAAATGAGTAGGAGAGAAATTTGTAATATTTTTTTCCCCAGAAATACCTTTCTCAAGCGTGATGATCCATCGTGGATCTAATTGCATGTGTGACGTGCCCAGCGCATTGATAGCGCTGATGCCGATTTGATACGCAGTGCCGCTCTCAAATCCCTTGAGAACGTAGCTCGAATTACCACCTCCAATCTGCTCGGCGTAGTACTGACGTTGATCCGTACCTTTCTTCATGTGCTGGATGAAGTACTTCTTAATCGGCTCGTTACCATCACTGACAGTCCAATTTAGGAATATGCTGCCGGCACCGACTGCCTTCATAAAATCTATGCTGACTTTTGGCACATCGATGACAAATAAATGCGTTAAGGCGCTCATTATCCCGTTGTAGTCATTCGCCTGACACACATATGTGCCATTATCCTTTCGCGCTAAACCCTTGAATTCCAGGACTAAAACGGCGTAAGTCTCGTTTATTTGCGCAACGACAGTGAGATTCTTCAAATGTTCGCTGCTCTCTGAATTATTCTCTTTTAACCAAGTAAATTGAGATAACGGATAACCGTGTATGTGGCACGTCAAGTTGGCAGCTTCCGACACTTTCGCCCTTATATTCCCGCCGGATATTATCTTGCCAGGTTCTGAAAAACGAGAAACGATATTTCAACGGGATATGAGAAGTTAGCATCCTAACTATAGTACTCAGGAGTTCTGATTAGAATTCCCGTTTCCTTTTGACAAGACGAAGAATTCTATATAATTCTATATAATTCTATATAATTTATAACAAGAGTTCCGCTTAATAATTATATTAAAATAATTTTTAAAAAATGGGGAGCTTCTCATCGAAAATCGAGATCGAATAATTCTGAATGACTAGCTTCATTTCGTGAATAGAGTTCCTGATGCATAAAAAAAATTTTGAAAAATCAAAAGAAATTAAAAATTTTTTAAAAATCAATTTTTAGATACAATAGTTCTGATTAGAGTTCTTGCTTCCTTTTAACAAAACGAAGAGTTCTCTGTATTTTTTAATACGATATTTATTTAATAACAATTTTTAAATAATTTTTAAAAAATGGGGATGCTAACTTCTCAGCGAAATTCGAAATTGAATAGTTTTGAACAGCTTAATAGCTCTATTTTGTGAATACCTAAAGTTCCTGATACATAAAAAACAATTTTGACACAAGAAAATTTATTAAAAAAAAATTTTTTTTTGAAAAAGAACTACACATAATTTTAATCAACTACTAGAACTCTTAAAAAATTTTTCGAAACGTCGGACTTAGAAACTTTTCAATGTAGAGTAACTTTCAAATGTTTCCATATCTCGAAAACCGTTGGCCCAATCGCTTTTTCATCCTAATACTTTTCGATAGAACTTGATCAGAACTACAGAATTCTAATCAGAACTATTCAGTACTCTCAAAAAATCAACAGTTTGCGAGATATCGCTATATGGGAAGAGTCATTGAAAATTTTTTGAGTATTGAGTAGTTCTGATTGGCGTTCTAAGCAGTTCTCGAGCTCTAACGAAAAATATTAGGTGAAAAAGCAATTGGACCAACAATTTTCGAGATATGTTACATGGGTCATTGAAAATTTTAAGAGTACTGAATAGTTCTGATTGGAGTTCTGGACAGTACTCGACGAGCCCCAACGAAAAGTATTGATGAAAAAGTGATTGGGCCAACGGGTTTTGAAGTATGGAGACATTTGAACTCTACATTGAAAATTTTCTAAGTCCGACGTCGAAAAATTTTTCTGATTAGAGTTCTGATTGGAGTTCTGGGCAGTACCCTAACGAAAAATATTCAGTGAAAAAGCGATTAAGCCAACGGTTTTCGAGATAGGGGGACATTTGAACTCTACATTGAAAATTTTCTAAGTCCGACGTTGAAAAATTTTTTGAGAATAGTTCTGATTAGAATTCTGTGTAGTTCTGGTCGAATTCTGTCGAAAAATTAGGTGAAAAAGTGATTGGGCCAACGGCTTTCGAGATATAGAGACATTTGAATTCTACATTAAAAAGTTTCTAAATCCGACATTTTGAAAAATTTTTTAAGAGTTCTGATTAGAGTTCTGTATAGATTAGAGTTCTGATTAGAGTTCTCGACGAGTTCGAAAAGTATTAGGTGACAAAGCGATTGGATATATAAGGAAATACGTATTTCTGCAATCGATTTTTTAAATTTCGTTTTAAGTATATATCTCTTTTATTTTTGAGTCTGTGTTGGTTTTAATCGCTGAGAATTCTTCGAAATTATTATAATGAAAACATGTCACAGAACTATTTTATAAAAAAATTTTTTTTATAAATTTCCTTGTGTCAAAATTTTTTTTTATGCATCAGGAACTCTAGGTATTCACGAAATGAAGCTATTGAACTATTCAATCTCGATTTTCTATGAGAAGTTAACATCATTTTTTTTAAATTATTTAAAAATAATCATTAAGCGGAACTCTTGTTATAAATTATATAGAATTCTTCTTCAAAAGGAAACGGGAATTCTAATCAGAATTCCTGAGTACTATAATTGCTAACTTCACATACCCATTTCAACGAGTTTAATAAATTGAAATTGACTTTTGTTATGTAATAATAAGTCTCTCTTTTGTTGCGTAATAATGAGAGAATATTATAAAATCCAAAATACGTATATTGTAAAAGTGCGCTAACACACGCATAACAAAGACACTTAAATTAGCTCATCTATCTATTAGCTCATCATTTACCTATCACTCTGATATGAATGTTTTTTTCGAGGAATTCGCCGTCAACAGTCTGCGCAGAGCATTTGTAGTTGCCCGTGTCATTTCTGTTGGCCTTTTTTATATCAAATCGTCCGATGTAGTCAAACTCATTGATGGTGCTGAGGTTCCTGCCGTCGGTGCTCCACCAGACTTGACCCGGCACGTTAAGCTTGCACAATAACGTCGGTGTGCTGCCTGCCTCTATACCCTTGATATCTTGTGATGATCGAATCTCCAATGACGCGGTCCGCTCGGTCTTGGATTCTGCTGCTGCTATTTCCAACTTATTTATACCTATAAGAAAATACATTTTCGTATTCAATTCACAGATGCAAACAATAAATTTGAAATAAATTCGATAAACGAGATTATCTTAAATATAATTAAGCAAAGAAGACCAAAAGTAGATTTTTGTGCCTAATAATATTATTTTTAATAAATAATATTACCTAATAATACCTAAATTTTACAATTCTCAATTCTAGTAAACTACGATTTGATAAGCAATTAATTTAATGTAGATACTAACGAATATCTTAAAATAATTTATTGCAAAAGAGATATCACGCCATCAGAATTTGTATTAAACTTTCCCACATTCCGTAACAAATTACATCTTACCAATTCAAGACATAATTCGAGTGTGTGAAATTGGCACCCTTATGCTTTGAAATCAGAATTCTGATAAGAGTTTTGGATTCTTTAAAACAAGAGAAAGAGTTCCTGATGATTTTTAGAAAGAGTTCCGCTCATAAATACCAAAAAAATAGATTTCGCAAATGTGTTAACTTCATGTTCAACATTAACATCAAATAGTTCTGAATAACCTATTCAATGTATTTTAACGAATACTAGAGTTTCTAATATAAAAAAATTATTTTTTCAAAAAATTAAAAAATTATTTTAATTAATATCAAACTCGAATAGTTCGAAACAGTGCATCAGATTCCTTTCGACGAGATCTAGAGTTAGAATTCTTGATGAAATAGAAAATCTGAAATCTTTATAATTGTTTTAAAAAATCATAATTTTGAAAACTGGGAATCTTAATTTCACATCTAACATTAGCATCGAACAGCCCATTCGATGTCTTTTGACGAATAATAGAATCTCTGATGCAACAAAATTATCTTTTAATTATTAAAAAAAACTTTTTAATTTAAAAAAATAATATCAATTTTGTTTTTTGGAAATCTAGCATTCTAAAAAAAATTCTGATAGTCCCCCAAAGAGTTCTACCATAGCGCCTTGAGTAGAAAAATTCGAAATCTTATTGTAAGGCCTATATTCAGAATGCACATTTATTGATAAAAGCGCATTTTTATCTCTGAAATTCTATAATATGCATATAACAAACAGGTGTACGATTCTCTTTCGAATGTCATTAGTCCCATATCGATATAATTGAAAATTGTCTAATAAGGGAACCTCGCAAGGTGTCAAATTCTGATTTTAATGAAACTTTGTGAGCTTTTCGTTCTCGTATCTCGAAAACTATTTGAGATATTAAAAAATGTTTTATACAAAAATTTTACAACAAAATTACCTCTATTCATTCATATCAATAATATTTTTAATAAATATTTTTTTAAAGTAAACAATTTTTTTTAAATAATTATTGATGTAAATGAACAGAGATAATTTTATTATAAAACTTTTGTATAAAACATTTTGTTAGTTGAATAGTTTTCGAGATATAATAGAAAAAGCTGAAAACCGCTGTACACGTAAGGAGTGATGTCATCCCTTTCAAACCGTTTTTCCGCTCCAACTGATATTTTCTAAATTCATCTTTTTATGAGTTACAAGTTCACAAAGTTCCATTAAAATCAGAATTTAACATGTCGCAAGTTTCCCTTGTAAGTTCGCTATATAGACGTTGCACAAAAATTGAAAAGCGCTGTATTTCCGAATCCTTTAAGATACAAACGAAAGTAAGAGGTACGAACGGGTACAAACGATTCTCTTTCGAATGCCGTTGGTCCCATTTCCATTTAGAAAATTGGCTAAGTTTGCTATATAAGGATTGAAAAGCATTATATCTCCGAATCCTTTAAGGTACAAACGAAAATAAAAGAGGTATAAACGAGTACAAACAAAGTACAAATGCGCTACGGTATTAATTTTTATTTTTGATAAAGTTAGGCGCCCAGGTTCACATCGGTGTTTTGGAAAAAGTTTTGAAGTCAGCTACATGAAACAATATGTAATATGAAACAAAAAGTGCGGGTTTAAAAAATTTTGGTAACTTTTACCTGATATTAAGGACATCTTCTCAAGGCCAATCAAGGTCTTTCCTTCTAGCAACTGAGTAATAACTTTTGTTTGAAACATTTTTCCGTATCTTTTATATTTCTCTGGATATTTCAATGCGTCGATTATGAATGCCTCATCCTGTATATGGAATTTTTTTCTTTATGCTATAAATGTATGTTATATTTTGCAAATTTTGTTAATTACAAATATTACACAGATATTACACAAAAATTTTAATTTTCGTTTATATTTTAATAACAGAAATATTTTTCGTTTATATTTAATAACAGAATATTTTTATAATCTTGTAATGTATCAAGAAACAAAATTATTAATTAAAAGTACAATAATGTTTTCCTATCTATATTATAATCTACGCGTCATTTTTAAGAAATCTTCAACATTAATTTTTGATAAATAAACAAGGATGATACCGCATTTTTTCTACATAAATAACATAAATTATAATGCACACTTTCAACAAAACAATAATTTTGTTCTTTTAATCTATTTTCTTGCAGTAAACCTTATGCTTTTCTTATAGTAAATAATGTAAAGTATAGTAAATAATGTAAAGAATATTTTAGTATAATATCATTAATTTGCTTATTTTTAATATGTTTGCATAATAATTAATTTGCTTATTTTTAATATGTTTAAAACTTTTTTAAACCTTGCAGTGCTCATTATGTCCCGGATTTCTTTATAATTATTCATTAGGTATAAGCTATAAATAATGTAATTAGTTTGCATTGCACATCTTTGACTAATTTTCACGCGACATTTATTCACAAATTTGTGCACCTGCTTTTTTTATCATTTTTATAGCATAAAGCTTATATATTTTATTGTATATTGCTCACTTTATTATTTTTTTCATTTTTATTTTGATTTATATTCATCTTATACACTCTCACTTCCTAAAAAAAAAACGATACATTAAAAATTTGGGAAAATTTTACTAAATTTCAAATGATCACAACTTAATAAATGATGAAGTTAAAAATATGTTTAAAAATGCAAAATGAAGTTTGAAATATCTACTTTAAGAATATTTTTAAGAATAAGAATTGCACTGGACTATTATTTCGCCAAAATGGCGGATGACCAAGTGAGAAAATACAAAATTGATAATCTAACATCCAAATGTGATGATACATGGCATGAATCAGGTATCGTAGCCTAATGAACAACATGAAAGTATAGAATTTTGTCTTTAACATGTTTTTTTTATTCAGTTCGATACGATAATTTTTTGCTGAGTTATCTCAAATTTAAGACTATCATTAACTCAAATTATGGTTGTAATTCTTCATAATATAAACTGCCCACATACCAATGTATTTCCTTAAAATATCCTAATTTGATCAGATTGATCTCATTCTGATCCAAAACATTAAATCGTCCATATGATGATCAATTCAGGACATTTGTAATTGTCATTGTACTAATATAAAATGTCTTTAGAATATCTTATTTTGATTCAAAAAATTTTCATCATTATATTGATAAATTGCATTTTTCAACTTTCAACACATATATGTCATATACATTTACGTATTTTATATATTTTACGTATTATACATATCTTTGAACATATCTTTGCGATTTAATTTGTTAATTTTTTAATATTAGATGTACAACTTTGCTTCCGCCGTTTTTTCCGAAATTCGAGCCTTTATATATATATTTATAAAAAACTGGTTATACATTTATGATTCAAAGTATTGTCCATCGCTGGCCACTACTTTCTCCCATCTTTCGGGTAGCGTACGAATCCCGCGTCGAAAAAACTGGTCATCTTTTGAGACTATCCACGAATCGATCCAATTTTTTACTTCTTCATAAGAACCGGAAGTGCTCAGCCAGGCCGTGTGCCATTGATCGAAACAAGTGATAATCAGAGGGAGCAACGTCTGGAGAATACGGCAGGTGGGGTAGGACTTCCCATTTCAACGTTTCCAAGTATGTCTTGACTACTTTCGCAACATGGGGTCGAGCATTGTCATACTGCAAAATCACTTTATCGTGTCTCTCGTTATATTGCGACCGTTTGTCTTTCAATGCTCGGCTCAAACGCATCAATTGCGATACCGATCGCTTGTTTCAGTCGGTTTTAACAGTTCATAATACACTACGCCGAGCTGGTCCCACCAAATACAGAGCATGACCTTGGACGTCAAAATCACCGTTTTTGAAGCGTTGAAACCACTCACGACACGTTCTTTCACTAATAGCGGTCTCACCATAAGTATTTGAGAGCATTCGATGAGCCTCAGCCGCAGATTTCTTCATATTGAAGCAAAAAATTAAACCCTCCCGCAAATGACGAGAATTTGGCTCGTAAACTGACATTTTCAATCGAGAATAACTTTATGATGCAGACACAAATCAATTAATGTTTCTATGGGGTTATGTTGACAGATGCCCAGGTTTATTGTATGACGTCTATGATCTATTTATTTCGACCACCACTTACCGCTAAAGCCATCTATAGGAAAATGACGGAAGCAAAGTTGCACACCTAATATATATAATATATTACCCACATAGACATACTGAAAACTATCCTTTGTTTCAAGAAAAATTTAATCATATTTGATCATATACAATAATTGATCATAATTGATTAATTATTGTATATTGTATGAATAAATAGAAAAAAAATTTTTGTATAATAGACACAAAAATAACAACTGTGTATTAACTCTTTTGCCCGGTTTCATTGTAATATTAATTTTAATCACATTTATTTTTATATATGTTATATAATTTGAGACAGTTACAGCTATAGCTTATTTTGTTTTTTTGTTGTGCATAATTTATTTTTAAATAGGTATAATTATTTATTAATTGACAAAGCAAAAGGAGTTCGATATATTCGATTTTATAAAATCGATTGTAAGTATTGTTTTAATGAAAATTTTTTATTTTATTATACCCTGCAATTTTTATTGTGTATTTTCTGATTTCTTGCATCACAATCAGAGTAAGTGTAGTTAGATAGAGTGAGTAAGTAATGATGAGTGAACAGGAGGTCAATTATATAACTTTTTCCTTAGGGCGGAAACGTGAAAAATGAAAATTTTTTGGGTATGTATACACAAAAAACATATATGTATAATAATAACATATATGTATAATAGACAAAAAAAGTTTTTTTTTCAATTGGTCTCTCAGCTCAAAAGTTTCCATTTCGTATCAAAAGAACACCTAAATCTTTATTAAAAAATATTAAGATTTAAAGGTCACTAATAAACGATTTTTAAATAAAAATTCCGATTTTTTTTAATATATACATGTTTGATTTAACTCAAAAATAGTTTAATCCGGATTAAACGTGATATTGTATGTCTTTGGTCGCTGAACGCGATGCAATATACGCCTTAAGAAATATAACCCGATTAATGTGAAAAAATTACCAAATTCGAGTTCAAAGTCGATTTTAGCAAGGTTCTAATCGTTCAAATAAGTCGTTACTCTTTTCAAATTGCAGGTCTGTTCACTCAGAACAAAATCCAATTGAAATTTTCTCTAGATCTCCTACAGAACCTTTAAAAGTTGCATTTAACTGGATTGTAAACCATTTTTAAGAATAAAAAAAATTTCGTTTCTATTCTTAAAAAAGTTCTAAAGTATATCGCTTTGTGGTTTAGACAGCCTCAAATCAAATGCCTCAATTTGACAATAAAAAACTCTTTATTAGAAAATGAAATAAGTACATAACACAAAAAATGTACTACATAATATGTAGTTTATTTCAATTAATAAATTATTTTTTTTGTATTATTTTGCATGTACTCATTTTATTTTCTAATATAGAGTTTTTAATTAATTGGGTATTTCTTAAGGCATATATCGTAGAACTAAATCTAAGTAATTGCATTGTATTCAGCGCCAAAAAACATATAATGCCATTTAAAATCCGATTTAATCAAATCAAACATGTATTAAATCGAAACTTTGATTTAAAAATCATTCACTAGCAACCTCTAAATCTTAATATTTTTTGATAAAAATTTAGGCATGTTCTTTTGGCATGAAATGAAAGCTTTTGAGCTGAGAGGCCGCTTAAAAAAAATTTTCTTTTTCTTGTAGTCTAATTATATATATATATAAACATCGTCATAAACGGTTGATCTCGAGTATCCAAAGAACCGAATTTATTTCCGTTGCTGAGCGCCCAGCAAAGGCCTTCGATGATCGCGGCTCTTCGATTATACTCCACACTTGGTTTTAACATCGCGGCCATTTTGAGAATGTGACTGTTTACTAGAAGCATCAGGCTTTCTCAGACCAACAACAATCTTTGGCGGAAGCAATATAGCAGAAAATTTAAATTGAAATTTGTCCAGATTTTGGTAACACTCGTGTGTGTGTGTGTGTGTGTGTGTGTGTGTGTGTGTGTGTGTGTGTGTGCGTGCGTGCGTGTGTGTGTGTGTGTGTGCGCGCGCGCGCGCGCTCGCTGCGACCTATTGTGTTCTTTGAAAAACGAAGCGTCGGGACGAATTAGGTTCTTTTCAAAAAATTTGTGCCAAAATCAACCGGAGGAATAATCGATGGCTCGCCTATCCGGGGATGTTCCTGTTGTTGCCAGAACGAAATTTCCGGCCAATGTTCACGTGCTAAGTATTGTGTCACTAGTGAAGGTAACGTCGCCACGCTTATATTTTTTTAAAAAAGAGGAAACTGTCACAAAAAAGTGTATTTGCGCATTCTGATGAATGTAGTGAAAACTTTGGCGTCCGGAAGGCCATATGTTTTTCAGCAGGTGCACCGGCTCATACGAGTCATTCAAAATTGGCTCGTCAGACAACGTCGATATGTTTTGGTCAAGGAATTCTGGCCTCCCAACAGTTCAGATTTAAATCCCTTGGACTACTATGTATGGAGCGTAGTTGAAAGGGTCACAAACAAGTCTCGGCATTCCATGTGATGTCATTAAGGATCGCTATGAGGCAGCATTCGTTGGCATGGACAGCGCTACATTACAGCGTGCGTGCGAATGCTTCAGACCGAGACTAGAGGCCGTCAAGTTAATGGATATATCGAATAATTGTGCTCTACAGAGATCCCGCAAGTGCCATGTAAAAGGATGTTTCGTAATATTTAATTTTTCATTAAAAACATTTTGTTTA